ACTCACGTCACCCACAATGTGGTATCATGCTCCACTATATGGCACTGCAGCAATACAACATGGGAAGTCATGTAGAAAAGAAATAAAAAGAAGAACGAGACACTTTAGTAGACCTGTGCTGGGGTTGCGAGATTGCGTTTTATTCCATCCTGCTACCTGTCTCGAGACCTGTCATCATTCCCAGCCGATGCAAAGAACGAGCAAAATGATAGAAAACAGAAACTTCGAGTTGCGCATTCACGCCGTTTCGTACTTATTCCCAAGAATGTCATGAGTGACCAGACAGAGAACTTCAAAAAGTGGAAGAAGCTCAACTTGCCTCAGTAGAGACCCAAGATCTTCCACCATATTGCTCCACTTACGGTCCAAACAATGCCGTTCCACAGGGCTACAATGGCCCCGTATTTAAAAATGTCCCGCAATTCAACGTATCCAGCTGAAAGTCAAGAACGAAGACAGGAACAAGTTAAGTTTAGAACGAAACACTTGTTTTGGAATGACAAAGTTACCTCCGTAATAAACAGCTGCCTGACCACTGCTGTAGTGCGTGAGCGCACCAAAGAGATTTGTGTTGTAGGCCAAAGCCAGCGCTGACAGCACGCCAGGAACACCAGCTGCGAGGTGCATGGCTAGGAAGGCCGAGTAGAGTGCACCGACGTGACCGGTTTGGCTCGCAAAGAGGTAGTGAATCAAAAAGTATGAACCCTGGAGAACGCCGAATGCAGCAGGCCAGCTGAGAGAAAACGAGGCCAGGACTTTAGCGACGGAGTCGGACATCCACTTTACGAGTCCCAAGCTGGTAAGCTGGCTGGCCATACCAACAAGTACTGCAAACCACGCAAGAGTATCCCAGGCTGATTTCTCGCTCAGGCAGTCATCCCAATTGAGGACGCCAAGAACCAGTAATATTGACAAGCCGAGCATAGCTGCCACAACACTTGGAACTCCAAGTTTATCTCTGCGAGAAAAAAAATCACCAGTAAGACATCGCAAATTACTGGATGAAACCATAACTTACCCCAAAACCCACAGAGTAACAGCGAGGAGCATCGTCGAAACCATCACCCACTCGCTCTTAGTCACAGGCCCCATTTGCTGCAGCTTCTTTTCAGCCATTGCAGGAGCTTCACGAGTGTCTTTGATCTCGGGAGGATACAGCTTGTAGAGGAGCAACGGGGTTGAGAGTAGCGATAAAGCGGCCGGGACGATCGCCACTTTAAGCCATGTCACCCATGGATTCGCCACGATAACGCCCAGCTCCTCTGCCAGCTTCAGGCACAATAGATTCTGTGCCGCAGCAGTCAAAAAGAGAGCGCTCGAGTTTCCAGCAGCCTGCATTTCGCGCCACCAACACTTTTAAAACCAACATATCACGTAAAAGTTGGAAACCAAACCTGGAATTGAGTCTGGACGAGGTACGCTCCAAGCTTTGACGACGATTTATCGTTTGGACGGCTCCCAGCCGAAAGAGAGAGTGAGTTGATGATCGGCAAGAACACTCCCCCCGCTCGTGCGGTCGTGCTCGGCATCGCTGGTGCTATGAGCGCTTCGCTCACAGTAAGCCCATAAGAAAGTCCCAGTGTGCTTTTCCCCAGCCACTTCACGAAGTACGTGGCAATTCTATCACCCAGGCCGGTTTTCACGAATCCTCTCGCGAAGAAAAAGGAGATGACGATGAGCCAGATGACATCGTTTGTGAAGGCGCTGAAAGCCGACGCGAAAGATAGTGTCCGTGTGAGCACTGTTGTTGTCAATCCTACGAAGGCCCAAGCTCCAACCGGCAGTGGACTGAGAACGAGACCCGTGATCGTCGATAAGAAGATCGATAGGAGCTGCCAGGCTTGAGCCGACACTGCCGCGGGCTTTGGAACCAGGAATCTCAAAATCAGCCCCACACTGACCGAGATCGCCAGTGGCAAAGGCTTGGCACCCTCCAGCGGCTTTTTCAGAGATTTCGGATCGTCCGCCTCGATCACTGTTGCCGGCGTCGACGGCTCTGGAGCCGACGAGCACGAGATTTTCCTGGAGGACGAGGAATCCCTCGAGATGAATCCGACCTGGCGCGGCGGCGAGCAGCTCAATCCAG